GGTCCCAAAATATTAGTAGGTATCTTATAAACTCCCAATTCTGGTATAAGAGTAATATTATCAGTAAGAGCTATATCTAATGCTGTGCTTCCCGAAGTGGCATGAACTAAGTCTGAGACATGCTGTCGCTGCTCACAGCGGGATTTTTGTTCACAGGATACTGCTGGCAGCTCACATTGTTTGCTGTGGGGCCTCGAGTTGACAGGCCCCCCTTGAAGTTTCCCGACCCAATCTTAACACCTTGCTTATTGAATAAAGATCTACATTCATTAGTCTAATGATATCCTTTTCCACGTTTTCTACAAAGCCCTGGAAGCCTGAATTTTTTTCTCTCCCTTCTTTCTTTCTGACAGTCTCTTTTCAAATGTCCTGATTTCCACAATTGTAACATTAATTTTGGGACAAATGTAAAGTTCTTTTAAAAACAGCTTTGTTTCTTAGCATTTAAGAAAGTCTAACTTTTTGGATTTCACAGGTAGTCAATAGAGGGTGTAACTTTTCTCTTTATATCCACTCTGAGAACTAAGTTGCATTTTCTCTTTTATCTGCTTCTAAACTTCTAGCTCATCTATCTATGCAGCTGTGAAAGATTGGTTGTCTCTTTATTGTTGGCATTCTGGACTACCAAAAATAAAGAAAAACTAGCCATTTTTCAAATGCAGTCTATTTTTAAAAAGTTTTTACTAATTCAGAGATTTTTATCCATGTTAAAAATTTTTTCAGCTGCAGCTTTTAAATTTATCAATTTTTAGAACTTATTCTTTGCTTACTTCATCTTCCAAATCAAGATTTTTCTCTTAAGTTAGCTTTAGTCTCTTACTTTTCATATTTCATTGAAATTATCAAATTGTATGAGCTCAAAGTACTATTATTACATTAAACCTAATAAGACAACAAACAACAATAACAAACTTAAAACAATCAACACAAACAGTTACTATTCTTATTAAAGCCCATACAGGCTAAAATTCAATAGGAATTTGTTCTTTATGTGCTATTCATAAATCTCTCATAACATTATACCAAGTTTTAAAATTTGACTATGTTCTACCTACTGGCTTTAACCCGTAATATCACTATACATACTGAAACAACTGCAAAAATTACTTTTCTCTTACTTTTACCCCTGAGCTCTTAAGTAATTCCTTAATTAATGTAATGTACTGAGCTTCAGAAGATGGGCTGTTCCCCATGATTCCTTTTTATCAATTCTACCTCTGAATTTTTAATACGTTTTCAGAGG